CCAGCCTTCTAGTATGCCTAAAATAGGAAAAGTAAAGTACTGTAAAGGGTAAAGTAAAAGTTAAAAGTAGAGCAACAATATAAAAACATGTGGTAATCTACCACTTGAGTGTCGGCCAAGAAAAATACAGCTGTTCCGGTTGGAAGGGCTATTTAAACAACTATTCTTATATTATTTTTAATGACATTGGTTGTACGTATTATAATAATAGACAATTTTTTTAAAATAGAAAAACTATAACAATTTTTTTGAAATAGAAGATAATGTGTGAAAATGGAATTATGCATAGTTAGCCCCCAAGTTGACAATGAAGTTTTAAAAAAATATAATTTCCACGAAAACGGTCGTGGTACATGAATCCACGTAAATATGAAGGGGAAAGATCACCGGCGCTTCTTGTGCAAAACTGTCTTTTCAGTTTACGCTTTCTGAGCATTCAAGTTTTCCACATTATGTGTGTGGACATTCCCGTCATCTGGATCAAAAAAAAATAATTGTTGTCTCTTTTTCTTCCTGGCATATCGGTAGCTTGGCAGTAATAAGTATTTAAATGTATTTATTAGTATTGTGCTATATAATATATAACTTTATACACTTTATAGTCTCTATACTATATGGAAGCAAAAATATTAACAGACTCCAATGTAAATGTAAGAAACCCTTCCAACCGGAACTAATGGATTTTTTCTTGGGCGACGTTCAAGTGGTAGATTACCAATCCCTTATTTAAGCTATTATGACCCTTTTATTAGCCTGCCCTTATTATTAAAATAATTAAGGCCAAGGCTTAACTTGGTTGAAGCAAGGCAGCAAGCATCAGCAAGGCAATGAAATTTAAGCGCGATTAATTATTTCTAGTGATATAAATTTAAAACTTCCTCTTTACCTGATGGAACTATAGGCCTAAAATAGCGTCTTTTTGTTCATGTACAATAACCATTTAACAAAATTGAACAAGATTTAAAAAAAAAAAAAAGGAGCCTACAGAACATGAATCTTTAGTCATTTACGACGCCATTGTGGGAAAACAAGGAGAACTCTTCTGTCTTCATAGATGCGTTATAAAAGTTGCCCCATTGGATATATTTAGATTTAAATAATTTTTTTTAAAATTTAATAGATCTATCTAATATCTACTTTGTCTGATATTTCTTTCTAACCCACTGGATCCATGCACAGCAATGTAAAGGTGGTACTGGCGAGGGACCTCAATATCAGGGGGCGCATTCGCCCAGGGCGCTGCTTTTCCTTTGCACGGTTGTGCATCCATTATGGACGTAACGCGGCTAGAATTTTGAGGGTGGGGGTTTGTGGGAAATATTTGTTAAAACTTTAAATAAAATTGTCAATTTCCTTTCTTAAAATGTGTGACAGTTTCGATTTCTTTCTCAATAAATAGCTGGTGATTTACTAAGACTAAGAGGCAAAAAGCGGGAAAGTAATGAAATATATGTCAGTAGCGAAATAAACACCATTGCAAACAGATGACTAACAAAGCAACTTGGTTCCATCCAGATACATAAAATCACTAACACTGCCTCTCATTTTACTCACCACAAACCAGAGTCAATTTAGGTGGCATCTAAATAATTAAGTGCCATCTATCAAACTAGAGCTGACCAACCACAGACCATTTAAATAGCTTATTTGCCTACTATTACTATGACTATGACTCACAATTGTCGAGAAAAAGTCAATCCACTTGCATAGGAAGGGGGCTGTGGAGGGGGTGGTCCACACGGGTGTCACTTTTTTTAAAATTTATAAATTTATATGAGGGGCGGCATTTTCGGCGAGCTGGGGAGGTTTTGGTTTGTTTTTTTTTTTTTTTTTTTTTTTTTTTTTTTTTTTTTTTTTTTTTTAAACTTAGTGGTAGTGGGTGGCACAACTTTCTAGTTAACATCTCACAACATAACCCCTGGTCCGCTCGAAACGTTTCCCAAATCTGCTCATTATGAGGACACGTTACACATCACCCAACGCTTGGACATTGGTCGCTCTCTCAGTCTCTGTTGTTGATGGAATTCTATTAGACCTACGTAGCCGAGTCTCTCGCTTCGCACCTTTTTTTGCCCATCCACCGTTTCCTTTGTCTGGCCTGCTGATTACCAAAGTCATTCTCTGATACACTAAAGTAATACGTCGGCATAGCTAGAGCGACGTCGCCTCCACGGCCTTGCCATGTTTCTGTTCAGTAAGGCCGTGGGCAGCAACGCAGTCGCCGCGGCTTACCAGTGTAAAAGTTTACTTTAAGCAGATTTCTGATCGTTAATGCTGCATAAACTTTATGGTTTGTGGCCGCTCAAATAAACGCAGGACAAGTAAACCCACAACTCACCATAACACATCCAAACACAGGGCTAGTGAACCAACGGACAAGTTAACACGCAGAAAAGTGAATACCAGTTATACCGGTACATAGAACATAGACAGCTGAACCCAACAACTGGGTTTGAAAAGGCCTTGCTGAGATAATCGTCATTCTTGACTTGTTCTTGTAAATTTATTTTCACTGCTAATTTGCAATGATTGGTTCCGAAAGATTTCAGCTACTTTTATAAATATGTAAATGTTTTTAATGTGCTGAAAATTATTTTACAAAATTGTGTAAATAACCATTTTTATTATATTTCTTGGGCAGATTTTTGTTTCCTAAACTGAGTCTATTGATTTCTTATTAAAAAACATTAACATGTTCTACAATATTGTTTAACATTTGTAAAAATATCTAGAAAATTCTTATCTTTTATGATAATTTCACATTGATGTGCTTTAAATTTCATTTTATTTGATTCCTATATTTCTAATATTGCTTAATTTAATTTTTTTCTCTTTTTAAAGTGGTCCACTAAGGATTTTCCATTTATCTCTGATGTCAAATGTATTATGAGGAAAAGTATTATTACCACATGCTTCAAATTTGCAAGGTTGTTTCTATTATAGTCTCGTTATAATGATTATGATTGATCTTTTTTATTACATGTCTGATAAAAAAATTCAGAAGTTTTTATGATCTTATTTTTATTGGGCTCGAGGTTAGTGGGTTGTTGGGATAATGCATTNTAGCATTTTCATTTTTTTTTCCTGACATCAATTGACGAATCAGGAGGAATAGTTTTGGAACTACATAATTGAAACTTTGCATGCTTATTTTTATTGAGATTCTTTACTTTATGATGGATTGTTTTTAAACAAATGTCTCACAAGAAAAGTTTTCAGAATGTTTGTATTTATGTATTTTATTTATTAGGTTCGTGTGTTAATTTTTTTCTCTATCTTTTCTGTCTTAGTTTTCTAATTGTTTTTTAAATCATGAAGGATATATTATTATGTACATGGTGTATGCATCCTATATCGTTCATGCAGCCTCTAATTTAAAAAACACAATTTTATAATTTATATAAGCCAATAAACTCCTTTGCCATTTGTCTCCTTTTACTTTCTCACCTTCCTTGTTGGCACCCGTACAGTTAACTATTGTTTGTATTTCATCATCTAAGTACAGAAGTAATGATTGAGTGGTATGGATTACTAGAGTACACAACTCAAATAAGAAACAGCCAAACAAAAATGTTCTCAAGCCAGTTAAGGGTTTTTTTTCTATTAAATTTTAAATTATGTACCAGTGTGTTAGATCCAGTAGACATGTATGGTAAAAAAAAAGGCTAGTCCTCCAAAAATAAATCTCTTTGTCATTTTTTTATGCAATGGCATCCTTTATGATGTTCATTCCAACTACCTTGTAAATTGGGTCAAGTATGAGAAAGAATGTTGAAAGGAGATTCGAGATATCAGGAAAAACAGTCAGTGTTCGCATGTTTTACTTTTTCCAGCTAAGGCCAGAGCTGGGTAGACTTAGGGACACCCTCAAGGATGAGGAAAAAATACTAGCCTTAAACTTAAACAGGATTAGATTCCGTTATTATCGATGTAGGGCCTATATGCCCCTCCCCGTCTCTCACATGGCCGCCTGATGCAGCCCCCTCTCTGCATCATAACACTGTCACACATCATGTCAACTATTTCTGACAGAACATGTCTAGACTACGTGATATATCATAGTGCTTTAAAAAAAAACTTAACTATATCTTATCAAGCTTTGACATCATTTAAAGACATCTCTACAATGGGTGAAAGTGAGTCTACATGAAGAATACCGGTACCATTTTTATTATTGGTATAACATTTATTATGAAATACCAGAAAATTATCTATGTCTATGTCTAGGAGTAGGAGGTTTGACTAGATGTATTAGTAACACTCTATAGGTCGAATAGACCCTATGTTGGCCCCTAATAGAGCAGATGTAGGCACAATTAATTGTCTTATATCCAATATATAGGCCTATTATTTTTTTTACAAATTTAACTTGTGCATACTGGTAGCTTCGGTTTTGAAATGTGTTTATGCCATACTCATTAAAGATCGATCTATCCTACACTATTTAAAACTACGCCCCTACCCCGGCTTGGAATGTGATCCTAATTATTTCTAGAAATTTGCGTAATTATGGAAAAATTTCTGTCTAACAATAACGCTCGGCATTATTCGCAGATTTCGGTCTGCCGATAACGCTCAACATTATTCCCAGAGCTGTGTGGATAACGCTCAACATTATTCCCAGTGCTGTGTGGATAACGCTCAACATTATTCCCAGAGCTGTGTGGATAACGCTTCCCCTTTATCCCTTAAAATATCTTCGAAATTGAAATGTCATTATAAAACCATATTCAATGGTGTTTTCTAAAACCACACCACTTTAAACCCAGCACTAAACAACTTTTATTTCTAGCTTGGGTCCGTTGAAGACATAATTAAATTTAAGTTATTATTTTATTCTTGCGAATTTCCCAATGATATAAAATATAATGTGTGAAGGGGGAAATGTTTGAAAATATTCCATCTCGGAAACATTTTGATAATGTTCATTTCGATGATAAGGGAGCCTATTCATGAGTAACTTTCTATATATCATCAATTCTTTTTAGTTTTGAGAAATACGTGTACAATCTTCCAGTAGTTCTCCCACAATCACTCATTAAGTAATAAACTACTTAACTAGTAATTAAAGCGTCTAGTAATTATTGTTGCACCACATTGATTGCTTACTTTTACTATTTTGAACTCGATGTAAACGATTCAAAGTTTAAAGTAAAGCTACTCAAACCTGGACAGCAGCCCACCACATCACCACCACAGGTAAAACTATGTTACTATGTACTATGTTGATATGTTGTATAGTATAAATAAACACATTTTTTTTTCTAAACATTAGTAGGGCCTAAATGATTAAAAATAATAATTTGATATCTACCCTTAATCACAGGCCCCGCCTAGTTCTAGGCCACTTTTACCTCCTACTCCTAGTCCTAGTCCTACATTAGTTGCACTGACTATTAGTAATAGTATTAGTCCTATTACTAATTACTATTACTAGTATTATTAGTATTAGTGGTATTGCTACTGACAATGAGCATTTACTGTATTGCTATTACTACTATTACTAACTAGTACTATTATTAGTATTAGTTATTATATTCAGTGAAATTGATTTGTCAATAAAATAAGACTTATTTTATTTAAAAGTATGGCTACACACTTATAGTATAGTAGTTATAATATAGACTACTTAATTCAATACTTGACAAATAGAGTGTAATGTTTATTTTATTCTTTTTAAATTTATTAGTATTAGTGCTGTCTAAACTGTATAAATAAGACTAGGCCTAGGCCAATCATCTAAAAAAACTAGAGTGTAGGTGATGATAAGTTAATAAGTGGGTGAGAGACTGCAAAATCAGGTTTAGTTCGTCCACAGTTGGAAGGAAATATGTGAAACAACATATGGGGAAACCTGAAAAAAGGATATAACAAAGAAACGAACACTTCGGCTTGAAGGTCTTCAGCAAACAAAGAAAAGCTACCACAAATTGAAATCCAAAAATAAAAACTTAAATGAAATGTTTTATCAATGGGTACAACAAGAGGAATGTTGTAGATCACAGTTGTCCAGCCAGTGTGCAGCCCAGGACAGCTATGAATCTATGAATGCTGTCCAAAACATGATGTGTAAACTTAGAAACTTTATGAGACTGCAACTAAGAATAACATAAAACCTTACAAATCATATGTGTTACTGTTGTTCCCCACTGTTATACCCAGTGAAACACACTTTGTATAACTCATATGCCTTGGACATTTTATGGACTATACATTAAAGCGATTTTATTTTTCCATTGTGAATATATCTGACATAGTTCCCGATGGTGCTCTGATGATGTTAGGTAAAAGATTTGGACTTATAAAATTAAAAGAAGACGATAGAATGGTCTTCTAAAACGTATGTATTATGAAAAATAACTGCATTGCTCACCAAGAACATTTTTGGGCAAAAGCTTTAAAGGAAAATGTCATGCAGAGTGTCATCAAGGCCATAAATTTCATAAGGGCAAAGGAATTAAATCATTGCCAATTCCAGGAATTCCTTAAATTAATGTATTCTTACTACAGGGAAATCCTTAACTTTTAAGGAGTAAGATGGTTATAGAGGTAGAATATTGAAAAGTTTGTACAAAAACACATTTTTTTTCCTGAATTTCACAATGAAAACATGTTAACAGATTTAACATTTTTAGTTGACTTGACTGCTCATTTAAATGAGTTAAACAAGCATTTTCAAGGTGAAAGCCAACTGTTCAATACAATATTTCAAATTATAACAGCATTTGAAATGAAACTGAAACTATTGCAATCTCAAATTTAGGACAACACTTTATGCATTTTGTCACTTTTGCTAATTTTGGCCTGGCGAACAATGAAAAATAAACAGCCTTGCTTTTCAATTTGATACAAGAATTTTAAAACAGGTTTCAAGATTTCCTGGAAAATTCCTAACCCTAACTCCATTTTCAGTCAAAATAAGTATAATGCCATCCAATTTTCAAATGAAATGGATGGCTTTAAAATCTGACATTTGACTTTTAAACAAAAAAATTGATAATGTCTTTTAACTGGATTTCTCTAAAGTTCCAAAATCAGAGAAGCTCATTATCCTTGGGGACTTCGATGCTAGAGCTGGTACAGACCAATTTCGGCACAAATAGATTCCCCATTCCCTCCCTAACCCCCCCCCCCCCCCCCCCCCCCCCCCCCCCNCCCCCCCCCCCCCCCAACACGTGTAATTGTTTGAAAAAAAACACTGGTCGTAACTCATGGGACAACCTGAGCCCCCAAATGATTTTCTTAACATTACTAGAATAGGTTTTACACAGTCATAAGGGGGCCTGGACCTCAGTTGCTGTTAACAATTCCCTGCCTATGCTCTTCACCATCAAGTTTTGTTATGCACTGCCATTCATACCAATCTTGCATAAAATGAGCTGTCAGCCTGGGTTTTTGGAATGGAAATCAATTTAAGATTTTTACTTAAATAATAATCCATCAACATAAGTAAACTTAATTCATTCTCTCAAGACTCTCCACTAGGACAAAATCAATAGAAAATTAACTAGTTGACAGGCAGCCTTATGCAGTATTAATTTTTAATCCTTTTTTTTTCCCCGCTCTATTTTTTTATTGCAAAATAAAAAGCAGTAAGACAGAAGGGCAGACATCTCCCTTTGGTACAGAAGTAATGCTTTAGCAAATGCTGACCTGTCAAGAACAGTATGCCAGTGCGTCTACGTAGAAAGGCACTTCTGGCCTATATACTCTCGCTGAGCTCCTGCTGCTTTATTTTATGGTTTTTCATGTTTATATCTTATGACCAAAGCTTATCGGTAAGTAGTTTCAATTTATCCTTATAAAAGTATCAAATTTACAGAAACATTATTTGAAATAGACTACATGATGTTGAAAATTATCAGGGTTGTGTCAGAGACTAATATATTTTAGTATCTTTTAGCTTTCAGGGTTTTGTTTAATTTTACCATTTGCATTCAGAAATAGTGAATTTTAAAATAATACTTGAAATCATCCATTGCAGAGAAGGGATTACACCCTTTTTCTCTAAAAATAATGATTTTTGTTGTTCTTATGATACATCATAAATTATTTTTGCCGTCTTCTTTATTAATAGAGCTTATTTGGTTTTTCTATGTATAAAAAACTAGCTCACAAGAAATTTGTGCTATCAATTAGTCCTTTTATTTTATTCAATTTATCATCTGTGACTTAAAGCCACTGGGAAGAATTGATTTAACTGCAGAGGACAGAATTAACTTTCCACATGAGTTTGAATACAAGCATTCTTTCAAAAGTAGGACATTTTTAAATGTTAATTATTTTATTTTTTTTAACATTAAGATGTAAGACTATTCTCTTTTTAAAAATGTACGGTTACTTGTCATCCTATGTACTTGCCAGACGGCTATAAAATGTTGATCATCAAAGTTGAATAACCCTTTTAAAAAAATGACATTTCATTTTAAATACTAGTTTCTTGGCAGTCCTTCATATAATCAAACAAAGCCTGTGTTATTTTTTGTAACAGTTAGAGAAAACATTCTGCCAGATTGAGCAACAGATTTGTAAAGCAAAATTTTTTTTGGGGGATAATAAGTAATTATAAGTAAGGATTTTAAAGTATTGAATTTTTTATTGAGATAATTTAAAGATTGTAAAGAGTTATTGTTATGATAATTTTTTAAAAAGTGTGTGGGGGTTCTTTTTACTTAACCTCATTCTCATTCTATACAGTAAATTAATAAACCCACTAATTTTATTATATCTATCACTAATTTTATTATATCTATTGCTCTTTCAGGTTCCGAGTCAAGAGCCCACGAAAAATCCACGGTAATTTTAACATAAAATTTGTTGGGGAAAAAAAAGACCATTCCCTTAGGATAGTTCATTCAACACGTTTGACCACTATATCTATTGAGTTTTCTTTCAATCCGAGCAATTTTTGTCATGTTTTATTGAAACGTCTAAATGTGTAAATTGTATTTTAATTAAAGCATTACTGTACTTTTTTTACTACCGGGCAACACACATTTTTTTGGTCATATTAATTAATCTACTCAGGCCAAGTTAATGTCACTACAGCTTGTCCATGAACAAACTGATAACATGGCCTAACATGACACAAATCCTCTGTCCTGTTGAAAGCTGTTGAAACATTTGAGCCTTTTGAAACCTTTGAACCTGTTGAAACCTTTGAGCCTGTTAACTGTGTATTTTAGTTTAATGACAGTGAATGTAAACTAAAGGAACAAACACCACAAACCCTAGGCATTTTACATACAGTTCTAACACTGACACTGATTCTATGTTTCCTTCTCAAGGTAACCACCCGTGGTGTAGGTCTCATCCCGAGTAATGCCTTGCTGAGCTCTATGCAGTGGAGTGAAGTTTCTGAGCTCTACCACAAGTAAGAGCAATTATTAGGTTAGAGCTTTAGAAAGAATGATTTGATCTGCCAGTTTATATTAAGTAAATGGCTGTGAATATATTTTATACACTAAGTATTTTATTGAATAAAATAAGTATTTTATGTTGCAGAGTTTTATCAGAATGAAAGTATATAGTTATTAGATTCAAATTCAAACACCCAGACACACACATATCTTCTTCTTTTTCTTCTATACTTTAAGGGCCCATGATCAATGTATTGATCATACTGGCTCCTATTTATGTAAAGGGGATTTCAGGATGTTTCTGTGCCTGGTATTGAAATGTGGGTTTGGAAGCTGGAGGCAATAGACGCAAGTGTGTCAAGTGTTGTCGCCTCAAGTGTTCCTATTTGAATCTTGTTCCAGTCCCCGATTGTCTTTGGCTGGAATGAGCCAATGTAGAAAGAACATTATCAGTGAAGTTGTGTCTAACATTTATTGATATTGACCGACAATTGCAAATAAGATTAAAAAATGCCCTCATGAATCATCTGATCAGAGCAGGCGAAGACTTTTTCAAGCTCAGCTCTAACAAACAACAAACAACCTACAATAAATGTACATGACATGTGAATGAATGAGGTATTGACCAAAAAATACTTTATTGATTTGGATTCAACTCCACTTTTTGGCCACAGATGGTGTTGTTGGACAAACTGTTAGCTCATAAAATAAAAATCTCCAGTTAACCTTGTCTATGGTAAATTGACGTGGCGTGTGGCCCTTTGATGAACATTTTTTTTTGTTGCCGGAATCATTTCATCAAACTGATTTGTGGTCGTTGTTGTGACAGGGATCGTATTTTTGTTATTTAAATGTTTTTGGGGAGGTGTCTAACTAATTCTTAAGTGTAGTACATTTTAGGGTCCCTGGTTTCAGAGTAATGGGCCCCACTTAATTTGGCACTGAAGGTTGCATAAACTCATATGTGTATCTCTATAGTAGTGAAATGGCTGAGAATGTGAACTGTATGTAATGCACAAAACTGTGTTATTAGCCGATATGGATTATTTTAGTTAGGAATATCTGCTGCATCAAAAAAGCTGTTTATAAATATAATTCATCCTTGTAATGAACAAGTTACATCATTTAATGAATTGCCATCGATGGCAGGATAGGATGAATCCTAGGAAGAAATGATATGATGAATCACAGGATACAAAGATAGTATGAATCTTTGGATGCGAGGATGGGATGTACCTTTGGATGCAAGGATGGGATGAATGGTTGGATGCAAGGATAGAATGTATCTTAGGATGCAAAGATAGGAAGAATCTTAGTTCTGTTTTCTTTCTTGTCATTGTCATCAATTTTAAATGTCTTTTAATTAATGCCTTTTTTCCTTTACCCTTTAACTATTGTAATCTACTTTCTTGTCATGGAAATCGATACTGAAAATATCATTAGAGTTAACATCCTTTACTTGGGAAAAGATCAAATGTTGTTTAGAGGTTTAACTGGGGGGGGGTTTGTGTGTGTGTGTGGCACTGTGCCTAATTTGATTTTTCTTTTTCAATACAAGAACCATATGCGCCACTAAAGAACTACATCTTCTATTTAAAAAACTGACATTGAACAAGTGGGCTAGTTTACAACTATCTACCACAACAGTCAGTCCCCCTTTCTATAATTGCAATACAGTCAAAGTCACGATACTTGTGTTAGAACAAGTTGACCTTATTACTGGTTAAGAAGGGCAGGCGGGTGACAATGATTGATCTGTTTTCATTCCATCATTTGTCACATTCTTTATTTGATTGCTAATTATCAGCGGTGTGATGCCGGCCCCAGAAATTTTGTCAGCTCCCTCCCCCTACGAAAAAAACACCAATGTTTTTCCGAAATATGCTTCCACCTCCATATAAATAAAAACAGTGCCGCCAGGGCGGACTGCCCCCTCAGCACCCCCATTCACACCCCCCTTTCCTACACCACAGCTGATAATCTTTCCATTGTTGTCCCCTCACCCACCACAACTGATTTAACCAAACTGGCATTTAATAATGTAAGCATTGTGTACAGAAATGTTAATATTTAATATTGTCATTGACCAACAAGTTGACTGGCAGTTCACTTATTCCTGACTGTGCTCTTCATCACTGATTTGTATTCTTTGAATATTTTGTATTTATTAATTTTTGTTTCATCATGTAACCATGATGAAATAATTTTTAACACATTTGATTCTTGTCATTGTGTGGTCAAGAGAGTACTTATGTGTGTCCAAGTCTCTTCACTAACTCACCTCTATGGCTTGAAATTTTTCTCTCCATGTTCCTCTTTCAAAAAGGTGTGAAAAATATTATAGCCGTCGATTGCCTTTGAGGTAAGGGAGTATATGTCTTCTTTTATCACCATCTTACATTTTATTGGCTTCTAGGTGAGCTTTTCCCGAGGTTATTGCCATTAAGTACAGGTTTTAGCAATAATTGTGTACAGGGTCATGACAGTTGTGTACTTGGCTCCTCTGAACATGATCAATGCCTACCAAAATTTCTCTCAATGTAATGATTGTATAACTCAAAGTCTAGCACATACATGTAGACCTATGAGCTCAAAACCCTTTGCTGAACATGCCCACCCAGAACAACTGTCAACAAATAGATATACTCTCAACACACACACACACACACACACAAAAAGGCTGAAATAGCGGCCAGATTTTTTCATTAAATGAGTATTTAAATCAGTTATTATTTTTGCATACAATCAATCTTTGATTCTTTTTGTGATGTGTGGATAGGTTATGAAACATGATGTGTGATTGTGTGTGTGTGTTGAGTGTTGTCTGTAGTAGAATCATCATGATTATTGGGCCATTGAATCTGTTTCTACTAGTAAAAGTTTGTATTTTATTAGCATTGATCTCCTGGTCTCTGTTTATTGTTGTGAGACTGAATCAGCAACATTTTTTATGATAGTAGTCCCCTCAGTAGACATGTGTCCTTCTGAAAGCTTCCAGCATGGTAGAATAATAAATAAATGTTTAGATTTACTGCAAAGAAGCATTAATAGTTGTATTGCCAACTGAGCATTCTCAAAGCTGCCTACTCAGCTAACTATGTTGTTGAATGATTCCAAAAAGAGCTAAAGCCATATACTAGAGCAGTGGTTCCAAACTTTTTTGACTTGTGGAGCCCTTCTTAGAATTAATTTCTACGTGGGAGACCCTTAAGCCTAGCTTGTCTTACTAATTATTATTGTTAAGGTTTTTCCCGGAGCTGGCTTGGAGCCACTGACAGGTGCATGCAGAGCCCTTAGAGCGCCTTGGAGGTTGGGAACCACTGTACTAGAGTGAAATATTAAATCCTTCCCATTATGTATGTTTGTTTCAGGTACTTGAGTGCGAACCAAATAGTTTGTCAAAATGTCGAAAGACTTGGTCGTGTCACAGATGGGGGATGGGATATGTGTAATGACAGTCAATATTCTCCCAAAGGCCAGTGTATTGTGTACTCGTTTGGGTGAGTTATTCAATAAACCTTGACTTACCTCCTTCAAATAGGTATACTAATCATACTTTATATTTTTCATTTATATAACTATACATTAGTAGATATATGAGTATTTGTTAGTAGCAAGTGATCAATTAGGATTCCGAGACTTCGTCAAAAATTGAGCCAGACAGATAAATTCTAAAGTAAACTTAGTTAAGTTAGGGTAAAGATAGTTAAGTTCCTCTAATAACGACTGAAAGTTGTTTAAATGATCACAAGCAAGATAGTTAAGTTCCTCTAATAACGACTGAGAGTTGTTTAAATGATCACAAGCAAGATAGTTAAGTTCCTCTAATAACGACTGAGAGTTGTTTAAATGATCACAAGCAAGATAGTTAAGTTCCTCTAATAACAACTGAGAGTTGTTTAAATGATCACAAGCAAGATAGTTAAGTTCCTCTAATAACAACTGAGAGTTGTTTAAATGATCACAAGCAAGATAGTTAAGTTCCTCTAATAACAACTGAGAGTTGTTTAAATGATCACAAGCAAGATAGTTAAGTTCCTCTAATAACAACTGAGAGTTGTTTAAATGATCACAAGCACTCCCCTAGAATAGTTTTAAATGTATTTTATTGTAAAAATTTTACTAAAATTAAACGTGCCAGACTATGAAGGTAGCATTTGATTTCTCACAATTGACAGAATAGCAGATGACTTCAGCTTTGACAATGCGGTCGTAGAGAAATTCGGCTGTGAAGTCCATTCCTTCGACCCGAGGTAAGCCTTTATATGTACCTAACCTTTCTCTCGAATTATTGGTATGGAATTGCCAAATTTTAATTCTTTATCACCCTTCTCTTTGTATTTACATTTGTTGATGGCTACTCTACTTTTGCACAAAAATTAATTTGAATGAAGGGTTTAAATCCTTGTTTTGTTAACCATTAAAAAGTCAATGGATCATTATTTTAAGGACTTACCTAAGAGAAGACTGTACAAAGGCAGACTTTTATTTGTTTATATTTTAATTTGATCTACAAGTCTGTACAGAATAAAGGATAGTAAAAGCTGTCTCAGTGCAAATGAGATTTAATTATTTGTAATGCTCATTTTATCATCCTTCTGTCCCTGTGACGCTACTGCTTGTAAAAGGCTTTTCCCTGTCTCATCACCACTTCCTTGCATTCGTCCCTGTGGTGCTACAACTGTGTTGGGGTTTGGCCTGCTTCACCACTTCCTTGCATTCGTCCCTGTGGTGCTACAACTGTGTTGGGGTTTGGCCTGCTTCACCACTTCCTTGCATTCGTCCCTGTGGTGCTACAGCTGTGTTGGGGTTTGGCCTGCTTCCGTCCCTGTGGTGCTACAGCTGTGTTGGGGTTTGGCCTGCTTCACCACTTCCTTTCACTCAAACCTTCTATCCACCCATCCCTGTGGCGCTGCAGCCCATGTAGGGCTTTGGACTGCCTCACCACTTCCTTCCACTCAGACATGACTGATGCTTTTCTTTTCCAAGCCTGGATTCCCAGCGATTGTAGATTTTTGTCCACATCATCCATCCATCTAAGCCTTTGAGGCGTTATCTTCTGTGGTGTTGGTGTGTATCCTCTTCACTCCTCAGTCATTTGGCATTCTTTTTTAGTGGCCCATCCAGCACAGCCTACCCTTTTTATTTCTGCTACTAGCATGGTATCCTGGTATAGTCCATACTATTTCAATACATCAAGCAATGATTATTTTAGAGCATATCTTACTACAAAAAAATACTGATTATGGCTCATCTGCTAATGTTGTTGATGCTTTCAGCATTGATATGCAGACCAAGAAGAGAGGGGACAAGAAGTTCTTCTATAAGTTGGGCATAGCAGATTCTGACAGGACCTTGGCCAGTGGATGGTCTATGTCAAGATTTGAATCTATACGTGCCAGCCTCAAGCACATGAAGGTAAGAGTTACCTAAAGTCACTGATGGATATGAGAGCAGGGTCAGGATATGAGAGTAGGGTTAGGATATGAGAGCAGGGGTTAGGATATGAGAGCAGGGTTAGGATATGAGAGAAGGGTTAGGATATGAGAGCAGGGTTAGGATATGAGAGCAGGGTTAGGATATGAGAGAAGGGTTAGGATATAAGAGTAGGGTTAGGATAAGAGAGCAGGGTTAGGATAATTACAAAGTTTGATACAATCAGGGAAAAAAAGTATTAATATTTCTTATGGCTTACATATGATTGCGCATAAATTGACATGCAATAAACAAGATTGATCCCTTTTTTAACATATTAGACAATTGTTCTTTACGCTACGGAAACCAACCAAACCATTTGTACTTAACACTAAGGAAACCAACCAAGCCATTTGTACTTAACACTAAGGAAACCAACCAAGCCATTTGTACTTAACACTAAGGAAACTAACCAAACCATTTGTACTTAACACTAAGGAAACCAACCAAGCCATTTGTACTTAACGCCAGGAATACCAACCAATACCGAGGAAATATGTGAACCAACTCCTATTTCCACATTTGCACAAGCACCATCGACATTCCCAACATTTCATTTTACACAAACACCATCGACATTCCAAACAATTCAACTTACACAAGCACTATCAACATTTCAACTTACACAAACACTATGGACATTCTCAACATTTCAACTTACTCAAGAACCATGGACATTCCCAACATTTCAACTTACAGAGAACTATCAACATTCTGAAGCTGGACATTGAAGAATGGGAATGGGAGGTACTACCTGACCTTCTGGCCTCTGACCACCTGAAATCCGTTGATCAGCTCCTTATTGAGCTCCATCAGTGTCAGGGCTGCTCCAAGTATGATCCATTGCAGGTAACCAATTTATTCTGGTGGGGGAGGGGGGGGGGGTGTGCCACGAAGAACATTTGAAATTGTTTCAACTACAAAAATTTAGAGACACTGTTTAATATTATTAATTCATGTTTTCTTTTGGCTACATCTCTACAAAAACAACTGTATTATCTTTCTTTTTTTTAAAATAGAAATGTTATATTGTTTGATTTATTTGATTGATTTATTGATTGGATGATAATGTAGACTTTACACCTCTTTTCAAATAGGACTTAACCTTTTAATAATACCTAGAATACAATTATCTAGCAAAGCTATATAATTTAGCATAATAATACTAACAATGATATCAATAATAATTAAGCAAACAATTTATATTTACATTGCATATGTTGGCCAGGCTTTCTTAACCCGTAGTCTAATGGAGATTTTTGGGGGGGATTCATGGAATGAGTTCTCAGATCAGTGGTCCCCAAATTTCTTTGCACCATGGAATCGTTTTGAGGAAGACAATTTTTCCATGGACCAAGGCTTGGTTTGGTTTGATTCAAGTGCAAAAAATGCAACGTTCCTAACAGGCCGCAGACTGGTCCCAGTCCACTGCCCGGTGGTGGGGGACCCTTGTCTTAGATGGTCCATGACTGGACTGACTTGTAACATTAAGAAATGGGGTCAGGCTAATGCTCTTTATGCCCTTCCCTAAGCACCCCCACTAAGCCCGGTATCGGGTCGCAAAGCGGCACGTTGGAGATGTCTCTTTGCAAGGACAGCCCCCACCCAAGTCTGCTCAATCTGGTTCTGTTGGGGGATGCCCCCCAACCCAAAGACACCCGGACAGTCCAACACTGTGTTTGCACACAGTGCACACAATCAACTTTCTCAAGAGTTGGGATGGTAAATTTATGTCCTAATATTTTCCCCCACCCATCCCGGGGAAGCGTTGGACGCCCTTTAAGAGGTTTTCTACAGTGGGTTTCCACCACGCAACTAACTTGTGAAGGAGCTGGGATGAAACGGTTGACTTGGAGCAGCTTCTCAGGGCTGCATAGTAAGAATCATCAGCTAGAGGTTACCACCTTTGCCTCTAGCCTCATATCCATTAGCGGCAACTTGTAATCATGATCTCTACCCTGCCTCTGCCTTTACTTCAACAATTGTGAATTATCACAGCTGGCAGCCCTGTAGGTGCTGTTTTATTTATGGCCGGTACCGAGCACGTCCCTTGTCGGCCCACACAGGACGCGCCACAGTGGTCTTGTTCCCTGGGTAACGTCAAGGTGGTCGGTGGTCGACGCTCCTTATTGACAAGCCACCACTTCAACCTTAGCCCCATGACGGGACTAAACATTTTTATTTTCTGTTTTATGGCTTCATGGATAACAAAGGATTTAACCTAAAGCTGATTTTTTATTTTTGTCCAGACAGACAAAGAGCCACCCAGGGATCATTACGTCCACATGCTGGGAATTCTGAGTCAACTTTACCAACAGAACTTTCGAATTTTCCATCACCATGACAACAGTGCCTGCAGGTATCTGTCCAAGTTTACCATGACAGAGTTGTCCGCCTGTGTGGAGATTGGATTGGTTAGGATACCAGCTCAGTGATTGCCATGCCTGTTAAGGCTAGAAAATGAAACAAGCAGTTTGAGCCCATTAATGAAATATGCAACACTTATCAAGAAATTATTTTTAAAAAGACAATAAAAACGGTTTATGTATTTTTATGGTTTCCATTATGAAAGAGCAATTTAAATAAACTCTTCCAGAGGCCAGAAAACGTTAAGACATTATAATGGATGGATTATGAACTAGTCTACGTTTGATCCATGAAAAATTATCATGAGTGTCTTGACCTTAAAGATGATCACACATGCCAAACTAAATGGCACATTGCTTGACATCTTTAACTATTTTTCACTTTATGTTGGGCTCATTGCCACCAAAGATTTTATTCTTGCTCTTACTGCCATTTTAGAAATATTGTAAATCTTTGCCAGGCATCAAATTTCATTCTGTTTATATCATAAGTTCTGATGTGACTTTTTATTGTATTTTTGCTGTAATCCTATGACTACTGAACTATTTGCAGAAAGTTGGTTGGGACTTTGGATATTTTGTCGGACTGACATGAAACAGTATTCTTATGCAGCACAGAGCTGTTAAATACCAGAATTATTTTAAACTGTTGAAATCTTCTTTTTTTTTTTTTTTTAAACAGGGTTACACTTTATTTTTTTTTTTTTTGATATTTTGTCGGACTGACATGAAACAGTATTCTTATGCAGCACAGAGCTGTTAAATACCAGAATTATTTTAAACTGTTGAAATCTTCTTTTTTTTTTTTTTTTTACAACAGGGTGATACTTAATGTTGTTTTTTTTCATTGAATCCAGTACTTCTGTAACATGTAGTCTAATATGAAACAATAACCAGATCAGTTTGCATTTGAAAGTTGTTGTTTTTTTTCTCTCTTAGAAGTGGCTATGTCATTCTAGCCTTACATATCCTTAAAGAAAAAGTTAAAACACGTGTGCAATGTTAGTAAGTCTGGTCTTGAAAGAGTTTGTAAGTAAATTCTTTGCCACGGCGGCACATGTGAGGAATGTTAGACGGGGTTTTGATGTTGTGACACCATTTTAGTAACGGAAATGATCCACAGAACTGTTTGTGTTTTTCTGTCCAACTGTTTTTCATGTAAATATTCTACTGACAATCTGTTAAATGTTATCATGCAATTTTTTAAAGTGAGGCACAAAATGATGCGGAACCAGGCGATCATTTATTGAACTCAACTCTTTTCATGTTATAATTATAACAGTTTTCATACATTTCACCAGAACAATGTTTTGACTCGTAATGTCATGATTGGTTAAAGAAGTCCTAATGTCATGATTGTTTAAAATCCTAATGTCAACATTTAGAGGTTTGTTAGCTGCTGCAAGCTTTTTCTTAATAATTTTCCGTTCTCCATGAACCAATGAAACTCTAAGCAATTTATGTTTGCGTCATTGAAATATTACCTCACCATTGACAATATTCACTGACTAGAGATCTTTTAGGGCTTTTGATTTTGTTGTTTCTATGACTTTCAAACACTAACTGAAAGTGTTTAAAAGTCATAGAAACATGTTTTTGGTCCTGTCACTGACTTGAGGAATTCTAGTAGAATGTAGCAATATACTGCGTGTATAGCAAGTAAATCACATTTCTATCATTGTAATAATTCTAAACTTTAATCTTATTTGTAAGATATTTAATAATTTTAACTTATTCATTGCTGCTTGGCTGTGGTATTTTTTAACTCTATTTTTTTGTTAAACGGGTCCTAGTACCATTTCCCCACTTTGCTATTGAGATAGCCAAACTAATCAGCATTTTTTCAAAGGAAGGCCAGTATTTGTGTCTAAGAATCCATTTTTGCAAGTGAGATATTCTTGTGGAAAAAAAAAAGAAGTACAAATAAAATATATGATTGTTGAATGAAATGGCTGAAATGTTTTTTTAAAAATGCTACAGTAAAATATAAAAGTGCACATAAAAACAATGATTCACATGGCAATTTTAGGTTGCCAGCTTAGTTTTTGACCTACCACTATAACAATGAGATTTTTTTTTGGGGGGGGAGGGGGGGTTTAATCTTCACTTAAAAAATATTAAACGTATTTTATGTATTTGATTTCATGATGTAATGATCATAACCTTTTAAAAAAATAAAATACTATTGGAACTAAGGATTTATTGAAGTGCTGGGGTAATGACAACAGTATTACATTGGTCGCCCTATTTTATGTTTGGTTTTGATGTAGTGATACGTGCAGCCTGATGTTCATCCATTGAACTATGCAATTCTGAAAGGAAAAACCCTGTTTTAAAAAAAAAAAGTTATAACCATACACTGTAAATATTTGTGGATCAATCCTCATGCACTAAGACCAGCATTATCTTGTGTAACTTTACTCTACTATTTAATCTCTTACAGATTAGCTTGCTGAACATGGTTCAAACATTTGTAGCTATGCCCTCTGGTCACTAACCCTGCACACAATAACCTTATTTGAGACAATATTTTTTTTTTAAGGATGTTATATAGAAAAAAAATGTGTATATATGTTAAAATTTTTTTTTTAAAGAGGCAATTTTGAATTGTGGCCATTTCCCAGATCGCATTCACCTTTGTAAACCTGTACACAGATAGCATCCACCATTACAAATGTGTGCACAGAAGCATCCATCATTGTATACCTGTACACAGATCACATCCACCAGTGTTAACCTGTACACAGGTATATAAATTTGGAGGCCTCTTTAACCCTAGTCATTTTAACAATCAGCATCAAAGTTTGATTTTTGTTCCAAAATATTTACGTCTCCACAAGAATGTATTTAAAATATTTTCAAGTGCTGTTGTCTTCATGATAACCTCTGCTAATTCAAACAGTTGGCCCTTTCTCTTGTACAAAGTAAACATTTTCAAGTGCTGTTGTCTTCATGATAACCTCTGCTAATTCAGTTGGCCCTTTCTCTTGTACAAAGTAAATATTTCCTCTTCACTGAAAGATGTTTTGTTTTTTCTTCACCAGTTTCACAAACAGTCGCAGTGTTTCTTCAATTTGAAAAGGGTAGCAACAAACATTAAAGCCATGTTAAAACAAAAATTATTTTTTTGGTTCAAATCTTGCTTTATATGATATTGTTGCATCAACTTTGATATTTTTGCATCAACTTAAATTTATCATTTATGAAGGGGGGAAAAAAATAGAAAAAAAAAATGTGAAAAAAAAAATATCTGAAATTTGTACAGCACCTTTTGACAAATAAGTTGTCTGCCCAATAACAAAACTGTACAATAAGAAACTGGCTGATTTGAGGAGCTCTGTGACTTCTGTAAAAACACAGGAGTTGCAGATCAAGGGTTGTGATAAATTCATATTATCAGATATGGTTGTTTTTAAAAGGAACTATACTGTAACCATTTGACTAGAGTGTTCCGTTATTCTGACCAATGAACCATAATGCTCTGTTATTCTGACCAATGGACCATAATGCTCTGTTATCTTGACCAAGTGAACATACAACTCACATCATTTTACTCTGTACCCATAACCCAGTCTACAAGCATTTGTACTGACCAATAAGGGTATCTATATTTTATTTGTTACATGATCATACGTGTATTTATTGATATTATGATACACTAGCTGCCGGATTTACTAGCTTCAATTAATTTTCAACCATTTACGTATGAGCCATGCAGTTTCACTTGTTTGTTCACTTGTATGGGCCCTGTTGAGATTAGTCAAGCTTGAGGCATACATCACCTACATGATTATAATTTGTTGTGTGGATAATTTCATTATGAAATGAAAGCAAGAACTCTGTGCCCATTTGGAATGGATCCATCCAGAATGAACATTTTACATTGTTCAACCATTTTGTTAAACATTCCCTGTTTGAAAGGTTGAGCTGGTTATCTGGTTACTTCATGACTTTAATGTTAGATTGACATGGGAGCATTAGCATGACATCTGTTAATAACAATATGGATTTTGTTGTCAGCGTGCCATTTTTTTTAAAATTCTTTTTTTTTTTTTTATAAGCGCTAAGGAGTGTGTGAAAAATATTTTGCAATTTGTGGATGTTACACGTAAGAGGTTATTTGGAGGTGAACTCCAGAAATAAATACACATCCATTTTAATAGAAATTTTTATTAAATTGAGGACCTACCTGTTGCATGATATTTTAAACTGTACACACAAAATTTCCCCACCTTCAAATTGTTTTTTTTTCCCCAGAGGTTCCAAAATGTCACCATCTTCAATCATTACTAACGTATTATTGTAAAAGTGTGGACTTATAAAAAAAATCAAAATCTTTTAAGTCATATTTTTTTAAACTTAAAGTTTATTATCAATTTGTAAATCCAGGACTGAATTTTAAAAATAATCAACAGCTTAGCTCAAATCAATTTTCATAAATAATTGATTTAATAATTTTTTAAAATTTTCATCCCTACATAAGCAAATAACTTGCTAAAGTTTCTTAAAATTATTGAATGGCTTAATTTTCATGGTGGCGGTTCTAAAAAATCTCACTTGTGAAGTTGACTTACCATACTTTTTTTTTTAAAGGAAGATTAAATTGTGTATAAGATATAACCTTCCCAATCCAAATATTTGTCCAGCCTGCTTTAAGCACAGGGTTGTGTGTGACATGTTACTTTTTTTTTAAAACTTGTGGCAAGACTACACATTCCAAAGCTTTAATAATGTAACTCTACTTGAAACAATGTTTCCGAACATTACGCTGTTGTTTTTTTTGGTTTCAATCCTATTTTTTAGAAATAACACTGTCATGGTCTTATATGTATGCATACTACCCACTGTCTTGGTCTGATGTATGCATACTACATGTACATACATATTTAGGATAATTAGAAAATATATTGTAATTAGAAAAAGTTTTAAAAATTAAAGATGTATATTTTTGTGTAATTATATTTGAAGGAAACTGCATGTTCAGTAAGGAGCTTAAAGAAATAAAAAAAACAAAAAACGACAGAATCCAATTGTTATTTATTTGTAAATTGTTTTTTTTTTTTAATTAGTCTCTGATAATGATGATTGTTTTCTTTTTAATATTATTTTCTGAGACATTATATGCTGACATACACTGAAATAATAATTTCAAGAGCGTAACTTTCTGGTCCTTAATTCATGCAAATGTTACAAAAATGACAATTTTTAGTGAAAGGATATAAACAGACGAGTAAAAACAGAGATCAGTTGAAGAAATATTGGGTATTTTCATACCATTTATTACGTCTTCTTGGAAACAGGAAAGTTAGTTTATGAGAGGCAATGACAAAATGGCACGATATTTGTTTATGAAATGAGATCTCACATTCTCAAAATGATATTCATTGAATTTTAAAAAAAAATTAAACTTAGTTTTATGTTGAAGAAAGTTATCACTTCCTTTAGTTATCACTGTCTGAAGTTATCACTTCCTTCCTGTTTTGCTGATTAAAGAAATAATTTGCAACTCACTCAAATGGGGCAGTCTATTTACCATGCCACTCACACAAATGGAGCAGTCCATTTACCATCCCACTCATTCAAGTGGGACAGTACATTTACCAGCAGAAGCTGTGGCCAAAAAAAAAAGTGCATTCATTTTCAAATTAGAAATTATCTTA